GCCCTCGGAAGGGCCGCAGAAGGCCAAACCGCTGATTTTCCAATCCGACTGCTCCAGGTTAGCTGAGATCAGTACGATGTTTGCCTTTGTTATGAGCTGGCAGGGGTTGACTGACCTTGGAATTCACAAGAATCGCATCTGGAGTAAGGTTTCCATGGACTAAGCCCGCATTCTCATGCAGGAACTCCAGAGCTTTGCTGATCTGGAGCAGTCCCTTCTGTATTTCCAATTCGTCAATCTCCAATTCGCGCCGGCGGCGCACGCCGTCCGAGTCTTCCGTGACATATCGACTCGACCGACCGCCTACCCCACCACTTCGCTCCTGGTCGTCCTTGTCTTGCAACAAGCTCGCCAGCGAAGCCGTGACAGCTTCCGTGACGAATTGCAGCCCGCCACCCCTCGTCTCCTCAACGGGCTCAACAAGCTCGAGGATGCTCGGGTGGCGCAACTTGGCCAAGCTTGATGCCTCCTTCTTCAGCCTCTCTACGACCTCTTCTGTCGCCCGCTTGAAGGCCGACGCGCCGGAACGGCCCAAGCTATTGCCATGACTGTCGAGGCCTTTCTTATCGAAGACGAATACGCTGTAGGGCTTCCCGGTCGACTTCTTCTTGCAGTCGTAAATCTTCCATGGGCCGGCGGTGGACGTCTGGGTGGAAGAGATGGAGTAGTTCGCAGTGATATTTGTCGATGATATCGACTTGAGCGCCGAGGAGAACATAATGGCGTGTCTAGGAGCTCGTTCGTTGGTAAATAGTTCGTCTTGGTCGTCAAGGCGGAGGAGACAGGGCTCGAGGAGACTCGATCGTCATGACGGACAGGGTACGAATTGGGCGTGTTTGCGCCAAGCTGGGACCCGGCTGTCAACTTCTCGCGCGCGCGCAGGAGGTGGCCTCTTTGTCTTGGACGGTGACGCAGGGCGAGGGCTGTCGTCGCAATTCCGGCTGTATCGTTGGAATTCAATCAGAGGCTCGATTGTGCATCGATTCGAAACTCAATGACAGGTGGGTGCACAAATTGGCAAGTTGGCTCAAGCTGATGTTCAGCCGCGTCGACATCCACGTCGCTGATAGGCAAGAGCGTCCCAAATGCAATCAGCAAGATATCCATGTTTTAGCGATGATCCCACATAAGGTAGGTAGGTACTACGGCAGGCACCCCTGCAGCTCCGGGTTGGGTGCCGTCACAGTGTGGTCTGCATCCAAAACACCTCCCGCCAAGCAAGCAAGCTGGGTTGGGCAGCTCCCCGTACCTTAGGTACCGTACCGCCTTTACGCGGGACGGCTTAGGTTGCCTGTACCGGGGGCAGCCCACTTTTGCTGGTCGCAGCTTAGGTGCCCCCAAACTCCTTAGGGGGGTAAAACTGTCAATGAAGCCACCAGAGGGGGTGGCTAGGGGGCCAATTGTAGCTACCTTATGGCTGACCTAAGCTTGCAGTCGCAGCACTGGACCTGAAGCTGCAGCGCGACGGGTCCGGCTCCGGGGACCCTGAATGATTGACGATGGAAAGCAACGGCTTTGCAACAGACCCAAGTCCGATAACGCTCCGATGGGCCTTCTGACTCCTCCGCCTCCACGCTATCTTCAAATTGCGCCCGACTCTGCTTTTACCACGCTCTGGATTGGTCAATTGGTTCCGCCGTTGACCGCAATTGACATATTCCAGCTTTGTTTTCTTGAAAGAGTCACTCTCTTTTGTTTATTTAACTGCTTCGTCCCGCGCAATCTTTTTGGTTGTACAAACTCAAAAACTCCTGTTTTTTTTTTCCTTGTATACCCACAAACAGCCGTCGCCATGATGCGACAACTTTTCCCGCGCGCCTCCCGCGCCGCCGGTGCCTTCAGGTTATCACAGACTTCCCCCAGACTAGCCGGTGTGGCATGGCAGTCAACAAGACTCTACAGCGTCAAGCCCGAAGCCGCTTCCGCGGCCAAGCCCGTCGGCATCGACGCCTCCAAACTCACCATTGAGAAGACCAAGAACCCGGGAACGCTGGGCAAGCCGGAGGAGCTCGTCTTCGGCCGCAAGTTCACTGGTCAGACCACCTGTGACACCTAATGATAGATCGCAATTGCTGACCGCGCGCCGCAGACCACATGCTCACCATCGAGTGGAACCAAGAAACGGGATGGCTCGACCCCAAGATCGTCCCCTACCAGAACCTCTCTCTCGACCCCGCGACCTGCGTCTTCCACTACGCCTTTGAGTGTTTCGAGGGCATGAAGGCCTACAAGGACAAGAGCGGCCAGATCAGACTCTTCCGACCCGACAAGAACATGGCCCGCCTCAACAAGTCTGCCGCCCGTATCGCTCTGCCCACGTTCGAGCCCACCACCATGATCGAGCTCATCTCCAAGTTCGCCAACCTCGAGAAGGACTTCATCCCGGATCAGAGGGGCTACTCGCTGTACCTCCGCCCGACCATGATCGGCACCCAAAAGACCCTCGGCGTCGGCCCCCCGGGCTCTGCCCTGCTCTACGTCATCGCCTCCCCCGTCGGCCCCTACTACCCCACCGGCTTCAAGGCTGTTTCTCTTGAGGCCACCGACTACGCCGTCCGCGCCTGGCCCGGCGGTGTCGGCGACAAGAAGCTCGGCGCCAACTACGCTCCCTGCATCGTTCCCCAGCTCGAGGCTGCCAGCCGCGGTCACCAGCAGAACCTGTGGCTCTTCGGCGAGGAGGAGTACGTCACTGAGGTCGGCACCATGAACATGTTCGCCGCCATCAAGAACAAGGAGACCGGCCAGAAGGAGCTCGTCACCGCGCCCCTCGACGGCACCATCCTCGAGGGTGTCACCCGTGACTCCGTTCTTGCTCTTGCCCGTGAGAGGCTCGTGCCCGAGGGCTGGATGGTTTCTGAGCGCAAGTACACCATGAAGGAGCTCGAGGAGGCGTCCAACGACGGACGTCTCATCGAGGCCTTTGGTGCTGGTACCGCTGCCATTGTCAGCCCCATTCGCACCATTGCCTGGAAGGGCAAGTCCATCAACTGCGGCCTGACTGAGGCTGAGGAGTCTGGCGAGATTGCGCTGAGAATGAAGGGCTGGATGGAAGCCAGACAGTACGGTGATGAGGAGCACGAATGGAGCTATGTTGCTCCCGCGTAAGCATTGGCCAGCAATGAATTGTAGATCTGTAGATATCCAAGAAAGGAAAGCGTGTGCAATAGAACCTGAGAAGCTTCAAAACGTTATTTGTCATTTGGTAGTGATTTGTTCCTCTCGACACAGGTCCTGGCAAAGTGAAGCTGTCTGTCAAGACCGAACACAGCCTTACCGCTGTTAAGAGCAGTTGAATGCCCATACTTGGCCAGTCCAGAGCCGCCGGAGTGGTTTGGCCAGCACCGACAATGAGTCAACGTAGATGGAAGCTCCGTTGAGCTTCAACGTCATTGGAAGAAAGAGATGTGGCTGCCGCCTCATCAACTCGACTCATGTATGACCATAAATGAAATCTAAGCATTCGGCAGCGCGCGAAAGTCTTCGTAGAGATGTAAAAAAAGGAAACTAGTTCAAGGTCGGTCATATACACTTTTTGTCGGAAACCAGAGACTTTCGCCAGTACGGTAGGCGAAGCTTCAAGGTCCCGCCAAATTCTCTCCTGTCTTGGGTTTTCCCCTCTTCTCTCCAATCCTCGCGGCTCGGGATCTTTGCTTCCGTCACGCCATTTCTCTCCTTTCTATAATTCTCTTCCCCTTCGCCGGGCCAAGAGCTTTTTTGGCTTCCAAAGTCAAAACAGAAAAAAGTTCGGGTTTCGTCGAATATGTGTAATTGCTGCGCGTTGTTACATGAATCCGCTCCTCACTTCTCGGGGTCCGGCAGGATGCCCTCCTTTTCTAATCTCCTTCTGGCCTCCTCGAGGGCCCACGTGTCGAGCCTATCGTTCAAGCAACGTTAGCCACAGTCGACATCGAAATTGCCTCAATGCTGGCGATTGTATGCGAAGCCCGTCGACATAGCTTTGCAGCCAGAGGAGAACCCGGAAGGAGATATCTCGTGTTGTATCCGCCTTTCTTCGGGTTGCGGGGGAACGAGCTGCACTCACGAGGTATCAGGCTTGAAGGCGAGAACAACGCCGGTGGCGATGATGCCTCCGCAGAAGAGGGTGTAGAAGGGGAGCTCCCAGCCCTCCTTCTCGTACTTCTCACCGGGCTTAACGCCCCAGAGCCAACCGGACGGGGGATCGAAGTCGGAGCCGCCACCGGCACGGCGGGCGGTCACGGAGAAGGCCCTCGTGGAAGGAGCGGTGGTCTTGATGGCGCGGGCGGCGCGGATGGCCGCGGTCGGACGAATCGCCGGCATCGTCAGGGTCTTTCGATTGCGTCTCGAGGGGGCGAGCGTGCCAATTGACGTGTTTCGGTGATGGGTTGGGCGGGGTTTGAGAGGGGAGATTTCGCGGGCGCGGTGGGCGGAGTTTGCTTCGTTGCTCACACAGGTGAGGGAGGCTGTTGGACTGGAGTTGGATTCTCGGGTCCACGTCGGGATGGTTAGTCAGCGAGAGTCACGTGTGCGATCGAGGTACCGACTCCACCCGACCAGTTACGGAAATGGCACCCCGAAGAGTACAAGACGGTTGCCTCTTTTGTTGAGGAACAGGAAGATCTCTAAAAAGTGACGAAAGCGATTTGGGAGTTGTGCGACACGTGTTGCTAAGATCCGGAGTTGTGTCGGCAGGTTGCGTCTGAGGCAGAGTTTCCAAGACCTGCGCTGCATCGCCGATTGATTGGTCTTCACAGAGCCGAAGATGCGACAACTCCCTCGGCCTCGGTATGTCCACCGGACCCCGTCTTACCCAAAAGTCGTCTGTCCTTTCTATGTCTCGTATCACTAGGGGGCAGAAACAGCTGCGATGACAAAGATTTACGCGGAGGTACCTGATACCTGCAATAGCCTAAGAAATGTTACGCGTCGCCAATAATGACACCCAACGCCTTACATCTCGTAATCCTAAAGTTATCATTGGATCCCAATACCAATGCCGTTTACTCCAATACATGCATATCTCAATAACCGCCGTTTGTCATGTCATTCAGAATATCCCTGAGAATGACTTTATCCTTCATAAGCACTTTCTCTCCAATCCTTGCCCGCTTGGGCTCAGGTCGCCGGTTCTCCTTATCGACACCCAACCCCAACTTCGGGATCTTTCTTGGACTGATGCCCTTTCTTGGGCTCATACTCTTCTTCGCCTTCAGAGGCGAGACGCCGCTGGCGGTCAGCTGTGTCGGCGTATCGTCAAAAAAGTGATTCTCCAAAGCATCGGCAGGTAGGTCGTAAATCCAGTCTCTCTCCTCCATCAAACTGATGAACTTGCTGAGCATCTCTTCTTTTCCGCTGCCCTTCAACGTGCTCTTACTTCCGACGACGAGAAGCTTGGTTTTGGCGCGAGTGAAGGCCACGTTGATGCGGCGCCAGTCCTTCAGCAGGTCGCCGATGCTGCAGCTATCGTTGCTGCGGACGAGGGACAAAATGACGACGTCCTTATCTCTGCCTTGGAATCGATCTGCAGTATGCATTTCCACGCCGACATGGGCGCGAAGACCATGCTTGAGCAAGGAAAGTTGTGAACGATAGTGTGTCATGACTCCAATCTCTCCATCAGGCACTCCGACAGTGAGCAGACCCTCAACTAGTTGCGTAACTATGCGTGCCTCGGCCGGGTTGACAATTCGATTTCCTTTCGCCTCCTCACGGGTCAGGGGCTGAAGCGTGTCGGTGTTGACAAACTTCACACGGGTTTCACCATCAAGCAGGTCACGAAGCCAGCAGCAGCTTTGCGCCATTGATGTGCAAAATGACTTCGGAGTGCCTGGGCGAAGTATGGTCGATGAGTCGTAGTGAAGCTGTTTCAGCGCGCTCATGTTTGGCACGTCAAGCTTCTTAAATCGTAGCTGCTCAGTGCCGCATCGCAAGCGCCCCTTGTAAATGAGGGTGTTGCTGAGGGTCATGATGTCTTCGCACATACGATACTGGTGTTCCAGATTGACCACCGAGTCAGGGTGTGTATCTGAGAGAAGCTTGAACAAGCTGACATCAAGACCGCCTTCGCGTGCCTCCTCATTTTGGACGAGAGGCGGAAGCTGGTTGTGATCTCCAACAAGGACGAAAGTCTTTGCCATTCGGATCGGCCCAAGACAGATGGGGAGCGTGATCTGAGAGGCTTCGTCGACTATGCAGTAGTCGAATGTCCGTTCGTTGAAGAGCGGATGCCCAATACCGAGGCAGGTCGTTGCGACAATCGGCGTGTCGTGCCATGCTGCCTTGATTTCATCGAAAGAGTTCATCGGTTGGCCGGCCAGAATCGCAAATTGCTGCACATCGGGGTGGACTTTGGCGGGGGCGCCGAGACGCAGGACCGGCGTCTTGTCGTCCTTGAGCTTGAGAAGAATGTTGTCGACAGCGGTATGAGTGTACGAGGTGAGCAGCACACTCTTTCCCTGGGATGTGAGGGCTCTGATGATGTGAGCAATCGTCGTTGTTTTGCCTGTACCAGGCATGCCGAGCACCAACGCATAGTCTTGAGCACTCATGACTTTTTCAATCGCCTTGCGTTGATCCACATTCAGGGACTCTTGGTCAGCGATAGTATACTGCGTGGGTGCTGCCTTGAATCTCGGCGGAACAAGGTCGACAACAAGCCGGCGGATTTCTCGAGAGCCGAAAACACCTTCCGCCATGGTTTGTACGAGGTTGTTTCGCACGACCGCCATGCCGTTGCTGAATTCGTCTTTGTCGAGTCGATAGCGGATGGGTGCTTGCTGGATCTTTCCCTGGGCGTCGTCTTGGGTTGAGCCTTCAGGAACAACCTCCATGATACTGGCAAAGACTTGGTTGTTGGACTCGTCAAAGCCTGGTTGACGGATTCGCGCGTTGTGCAGCCGTCGATCGACGGCCACGCTAATCCTCTGCTTGCGGACAGCGGTTACGTAGCCCAGCGCAAGCGCAAAATGTCCCTGCTCGTCGGAGACGACAATGGGCTCACCTACGGCCAGCTGAGACTCCAGGAAAGAATGGCCAGGGTTTGGCAATCGCTTGATGAAGGTGTAGTTAAAGCGGTTGATCTTTGAAGTTCCCTGGTCTTCGGACCACGAGCCTTCCTCAATGATGACATCCGAGAAACATCTTCCCACCTTCTCTCGCTCTTGACTGACCATCGTCCACAACTCTCTCTTCAGCTTCTGCGTCTCCTTCTCCTCCTTCGTCAGGAGATTCTCCCATTTGAGAAAGAAATCCTGATGCTTGGGTGTAAGATGCTTTACTACCTCGTCAAACTGCACATCCATCCCGCTCGTTTCTCCATTGCCGTCATCTGCAAGCTTGTGATAGATGAAGCACGGAGCCTTGGCGTAGCATTTCCCGCACATGTTCTTACTCCTTTTCATCGGCGGCAGCTGAACACTGCGTTCTCGAATATGACATGCTAGCTGGTTTCTTTGCATAATCATGTGCCGTAGTTCGTGACGGATGGTGGGAATGCGCATCGTCTGGGATGTCTCCATGTAGTAAAGGATGCCATAGACGATTTCCAGATCATAGCGGTCTGATAGGAGCAAGTTGTACAGAGCTGTTTGCGCCATGTGGTTGGCGTTGGCATGCTTCCCCGTCTTGACCTCGAATGGTACGGTCAAGGTCTTGAGATCTTTGCCGTCTTTCATCGTGACTTGGACAGTCGCATCGATGTTTCCTTTCAGGCCATACATGGGTGACCAGACATGCTCCTCAACATCAAGCAGCTTGCTGACACACATGTTGGCTTTTTTGCCATTGCGATCCTGTACGACAGCATCGAGCTAATCTGTGTTAGCGCTGCGGTAAGAACCATCTGAGAACGGATCACTTGCCTTTGGTTGAGAGGACACAAAGGCCGAAGCCCAACAACTCAACTCAGTCATCTTAGACTGCAGGTGCTCCCTGGCAATACTCGTGCTGACCTTGATCTTGTACAGGTCTTCTACATGTTTGTCGATAACCTTGTCGATAATTGTGCTGAGAAACCGGAGATCCCATTTGTTCGCCATGAGGGCTTCTTGGAAGATCTCGTGAAGCATGGTGCCGTAGACAAGAGGAGCAGTTGCTTCGCTAGTGGCTTTGACGCGGTCTTGCAAGACTGCCCGCCGCATGCAACTGAAAGAATCGGCGACGACTGTTGCGGAGACCAGTTGATCGGGATGCAATACGAGAATGTTTTGGGAATCATCAATGATGCATCGTCCATCGGCAGAAAAGTCGCCAATGACGTGTACGTATGCTTTGGGGTGTGCTGGTGTCTCGAACCAGTCTCCGCGGAGGTGTATTGTCCTCATGGTCTTGCTGTTATCCTTTTGCACGATCAAAATCTAGAGTCAAGTAAGTAAAGGTTGCAGTTCAACAGCAGCTGAATGCGGCCTACTTTTTCCATTCTGGACCGATCACGATCGTCTGTGTACTCGCTTTCTAGGACATTGGTCACCAGATATCGCTGAATGGCTTTGGGTTTTGTCTACCTTCATCTTAGTATTTGCTACCGGGGTAGCCGTTGGTTGGGACGTACAGCAGTTGTGGATGGGGCGTGGGATTGCTGAGCGGTCTGTGTCGCAGCGAGTTCTGCAGCGTCGAAATCGAAGTCTCCGCCGAAGTCGTCACCAAAGACATCATCCGGGTCGTTATCCAAAGGAGCCGGTAAGGGTCTCGGCGCGGAGGCAGGCTTTGCCGATGTTGCAGATTGAGACGCCAGATGTATCTCTGCAGTTTCCATAATCCCTTCCGCGGCCTCGAAAATGTCTTCATCCAAATCATCAAACTCATCATCCATCGCGATGATGTCCTGCTTGGCTGCTTGAACGGGCGGGGGCACCGGGGTAGTCTGCGTCGGCTCTTGCTGGGGATTGGAAAGACTCATACCGGCCTCTAGTTCCAAGAAAGTGTCGTCGTCGAACTCGTCAAAGTCATCGTCGCCATAGTCGGACTCGGCAGCTGGAGCAGCAGTCTTTTTGTCTAAGCCCAGGTCCTTTGCCACAGCCGTATGAGAGCTATTGCCCGGGGGCGGCAAATTTGGAATCCGAGTTGGTCTCGGCGTTGGCGAGGACGGCGGCCTTCGCATTGTATCCGTCTTTCTCTTCTTAGGAGACGGCGTCTCGAAATCATGCTCGGGCAGTAGCTCAGGTGCCTCCTGTGGCGGGCTGTCCTCTTGAATGCTCCCGGTGACGGTGTCCAGCAACGCGGTGACTAGAGAGTTCTTGGAGCTGTCGGTCGTCTCCCGTGTCAACGTGCTGGTTAACGAAGGCGTATCTCCGCGGTCCACTCTTCTCCTCTTTGGCCAATTGAGGCCGCAGCTTATAGCTCTCCGCAGATTAGCATCGCCACCAGCGGGGGCTGGTGCAGTCTTGAGGTTGCGCGGAGAAGAGGAGAACATTAGGTGAGCCAGGGCGGGATTCGAGACGCCGAGGGGAGTGACGTTGCCGTTGCTACTAAGAGAGAATCGATCCCAAAGCTCCAAGGTTGGGTCGGCATGCGGCGATTTGAGGGCCTCGCTGAGCTTCTTGACGTTCACAGCCGGCGTTGCGGGTTGGTCGTGGGCAGGGGACGACACTGGTGAAGAACTCCTGGCACGCTTCCGGCCTTTCCTTTGCAACATCGGGGAGAGGGCGGCGGCATAGGTGCGGTCATCTTTGTTTCGTTCATTGTCCCATAGGATCCGTTCGCCTGGCGAGGTTTGGGTCTCTTTCTTGGGTACATTCGTCTCCATCAGATCTCGCCAGCTCAACTTTGTTGACGGGGTGACGGAGAGGTCGCCGGTCGCATCATTTTCTTGGTCGCCATGTGTTTTATCGGCGGACTGGAATTGGAATTGGTTCAGCTTGTTCTTGGTCTTATCGGATACGGGGGCGAGAGGTCGCGACGTGGTTTGAGCAGTGACGGGATTGCTTTTCGAGCGTTGCCATGAGCGGTTCTGAGGCAATGTCAGCCAGCAGAAACGGAACGGGTGGAGGGGTACCTCAAGTTTCGAAGACATACCTTTGGCCCTGGACCAACATGCTCCGAGTATGACTTCTTGAGAGGCATCTCGGCGATATTGGGTCAACGTCCAAGAAACTATCACGGGAGTGCTTTGGGATATTCCAACCAGGTCGAAGCAGGGGTCATGGAGGAAGATGGACCAAGGTGGGTGAGTGGGAGACTAGAATAAAGTGGTTGTCCCTCGACGCGCTCTGTCGCGTCTCCTCAAGACCGCGGCGGCTTTGCATAGGGGACGCGCCGCTGCACGTTCGCGGTAATTTGTGGGGCGTTAGGTACAAAACATCGCCCCTGCACACTCAGGAATGCAAGTCACCGCGCACTTGCTCCCCACAAGTATTCGTAATTGTTCGCGTCTTGTTCCTTGCTGCTTATGTGTTGCAGGAGGAAAGCATTGGCTAGCGATTGGTGTCCATCAGATGAGCTGCAGGGTGTTGGTTTCCCCGAGCAACGATGCACGATGGCTACTTGAGCGCCTTACACACCTAGGTACCTTAGGTACAGAGCGCATGCTCATGAGACTGTGCAGTCGGGCTCAACTACAACCGATCGCAGAGAGGTAAGTGTTGAAGTGAAATGTCCAAGTGGCTGTTAGAGAGCATTGCGACATTGCAAGGTCATGCATCCGCCCTCGAATTGTCGGTGGTTTCCAGAATACCCGACCCGACCTCGACTTAATTCCACATGGAGAAACGCTCTGCCGAATGGCCGGGGCGCCCGGGATCTCCACCCCGCCAATGAGACAGACCCACTAGAGCTCTGCTAGCAGCTCCGTCACTCCACGACGACGTCAGGACTTTCAAGCCGCAAGTCCACGCTCGACTCACAACCACTGAACCTTGGAACTCCGACTTTCACCGCACCAGAACATCTTCTCTGCCGGTCTTCAAACCGATCACTGGTTTTCAACGTCCAGGACATTAAGCCCTGGCGTTGAGCTCCCATCGGCCGGCAGCATGGCCCTCTCCGTCTCGCTGGACAAGGACGTCTTCGACTCTATCCTCAAAAATCTGCCTCCGGCCGAGTACCATATCCCGCCTCCTGAATTCACAATATGGCAGCGTTTGATGGCTCAGAAACCTGAGCAGCATGTCGAAAAGATTAGGTACATGCTCAATGGCTCAGCCGCAGGCATGGGAAGGCAACCAACCCAAACAGAGGTCGACGCCCTTTGCGAGATCACTTACAAAGAAGGCCGTACACTGGCCTATATCTTGCCATTGGCTTTTCTTTTCGGCGGCGTCGCCGCCTGGAAATCGCGCGGAACCTTCAAATTTCCCTTTTATCAACCAAAGTTCATCAAATTCGACCCGGAGGTGTTTCCCAGCAGCAATATTCCCTACGTCAAGGGTCCACCAGCCAAGATTCTCTGGCATAACCTTCGCTTCGTGACCTATGGCATGATCTCCGCCATCTGTACTGCTCCGTTGCTCGGCTCATATGCTACCTCCGTCGCCATCGGCACGGTCGCCCGCGACGACCGCCTCGAGAACTTCCGCAAGGATATGAAGCCCGACAGGCTGATCTCCTTGACTGCGGATCAGATGCCCCTCAAGAGCCTTCAGTCACAGCGGGCCAAGGTGAATAGGACCATCACTGAATTGCAGCGCACGGTCGAGTCAAGACAACATCAATTGAGGTTGAATCAATCCGACAAGAACAAGGAAAACTTCACCAAAGAAATCGAGTATGCGACCACCAGAATTAAGACCTTGGAGGATACGTTGAAGCAAATCGACGAAGCGATCGCTCGGAAGAGCGACAACCAGAGTTCTCAGAGCTACGATGATCAGTCACCAACCCAGGGCTACTCGGCCATCAGCTCATCCGACTCTACCGCCTACCAAGAGCCCCAGGACAACGTTCGCCCCGAGTATGGCACACCACGAGAAACTCCAGTCACGCAGAGTGGATGGGGCCAGCAAAGTTCATCTTCGCAGTCTGGCTGGGGCAATTCCGATTCGGACGGCTGGGATGATGCTTCGCCGGTGGCTCCGGCCTCGAGATCAGCGCCTGAGTCGCCTTCCGGCGGCTCTGCTTGGGATCGCCTGCGCCGAGCAAACCAGCGACCGCAGGCGCCCTCTGGCAACACTTGGAGCGGCTCACAAGTCCAGCAGGGCCAGTCTGGAGAATCCGGAACTTCTGAGAAGGATAAGGCTCAGAGGGAGTTTGACGAGATGCTCGAGCGGGAGCGCCGGGCAGATGATCAGAGCAGTGGCAGAGGCAGCCGCTGGTGATGTGTATGTGTATTCTCTCGGGCGTAACTAACGCCGGCGGATGTATGGAAGAAAAGATCACCTCACAGTTCAAACTGTATTTTTGGTTCATATAGGACGACGCGCATGAAATGCAACTCAGTAACTATTCATATCATGACTGCCACTCTAACGCTATGCTTTCTTGTTCTAAATTTTTCTCTAGTCTGATCAATGTTGTGATGTCCTCCCCCTCCGTTCCAATTTCAACTCAGAAAGTGAAGTGTGTGGGACGCCAGAAGCTCTTATCCCAGCGATGCCACGCGGCTGTCTTGGGTGTCTGTTTAGTATACCAGCCACTGTACTGCGGTGCATCAATCTCATCCCCAAAGCGTTGAACAAGCCGGGGCATGAAGGTACTCATGGAGACACCAGGATGCAGCAGCCCATCGCCCGTCTCCGCGAAGCTGAACTGCGACTCCCGCGCCTTCCAGCCGCGCTTCTCCGCCGCCGTGGCGACCGCAGACGGCACCACATCGTCCGCCTCGCCGTTGAACGCCGTAGAAAACTCCGCCACGGCGCCCGCCAGCCCGACGTAGAACGAGTCTGAGACGTCAGACGCCTTGGCGAGGGAGAAGATGCGCGAGCTCGACGCCCGCGACGCTCCTTTGAAGGGCATGACGTGGAAGCGGTAGTTAGGCCGGTAGTAGTCCCTCGTCGAGTTCTCGTGCCACACGCAGCGGTTACCCCTAAAGTGGTTGCATCCGACCCCGTTCAGGCTCAGCGGGCGACTGCTAGTCCCCCTGAGCGGATCCGGAAACGGGGTGCCGGACCAGCACGGCAGCGCCGCGGAGTGGTAGTACGACTTGGTCCAGCGGAAGTCGAAGATTTTGAGCGCTTCGATCTCCGCGCTGCCTGCGACGAAGCGGTCTGAGCCGTACGTGATGAGCGACGAGACGGCCTCAAACGGCTGGTACATGTCGCGGTAGAGCGCGTCGAAGGGGGACGGCGTGCGGGTGTCCATGAGGCGGCAGGTGCCGTCGTCCCAGGCGCTCAGGAGGAGGTTTGTATGACCGCTGGGGCCCGGATTGACGGGTTGGATGGCGCGGACGGTGAGTCTCTTATCTGGGTCGAGGCCACGAGACTGCAGGAGGTCGGGATTCTTTGAAGCTACTTCTGGAGTGAAGCCTGTAGGGGTGACGGTGAGGTATCGGATCGGGTCCGAGGAGCCTGAGAGAGCGCACACGATGGTGTCATTGTTCATCGCCTTGGCGGCGTGGATGAATTGTGTTCTGGCGGTACCTGACGTGTCGAAGGTCAGGGAGTCTAGAGGGATTGCGTCCCCCGTGTCATCTGAGTTCAGGGGGAACAAGCTGATAGTTGCCCTGTTTCCAGCGACCACTGATGACTGGTTGGGCAGAGTATCAATGGAGCCGATGGAAGTCCACGTGGTGAGCTCCAGGCCGCCAGTGGGCTTGGGGATCTTGAAGTGTGAGAGAGTCTTGCCTGCACTACCCGGCGCGGCTGAGACGAGAGACAAATCGCCGTTGGCCCTTCCGACGAGCAGGCCCAGCTTCCCATCAGGTTCAGTGAGATGGATGGCCGTAACGTCGCCAACACCGGCCTCGTATCCATTGGCCTTGCCCTCCATACGAAACCAAGCATCAGACTCTCCACGGGAGTTGAGCGGCCTGAAGCGGCCGACGATATCCTCGCCGGCGCCCCATGATACGACCTCCCAGCTCTTGTCGAATGTCAGACGAGCGTCGATGATGGGGTGGAAAGGGCGAGCGGCGTTGCTGAATCCGGTGAAGAAATTGCCCTCTGGGCGGTGAGAATCCGTGTAAGCGATGGACTGGAAAGCCTTCGTGTCCCAGGCTCTAGCCTGGCGGGCCAGGGTGTTGGCCAGCTCGTTCCATTTTGGGTGCTGACCGAGAGGAAGGGAGAGGAGAGGGAAGCAGGTCCTGACGAAGGTGCGCCAGCCATCTTCTGAGAGGAGATGGTGGAGATGTTTACAGGATGAGGCGAGCCTGGCGATGTCGCGGGCTGTTCTGAGGTGAGAAACAATCTCCAAGACGATGTCGTCTGGGAGTTGGTCAAACATGTTTCTTTTTTGGGTCTTGCGAGGTTTGTTTGAGAACTCAATCTATTTGTCTGATGATTGGTTTTTGTAGCATGAGGGGAAGTGAGATGAAGATGTGAGAAACATGAAAAATGAATGAGATGAGAGATGGGTGAGTGGGAAAATGCTGTGCTACTGACGCTGATGAGTGTGGTGGGTGTGATGATGGTTGGAATGCGTGAAGGTGAGGAAGCGGTTTGAAAACTCTGCTAACTATTGTGGGAAGTGTGATGCAACCTGTGAGACGCCTTGTTCCGTGTACCCCTTCGGAGACCGTGCCAATGCTTCCAAATTTCAACCTTCAGCTATCCTTTGAAGGTGGAAGTTGTGTTTCAATGCTTTCGATGAGTCGAAAGAGTCACCATTAACTAAGTAGTGAGTTGCAGCCTAGAATGACCCTAGACTGGTTGGTGGATGCCTGCTTCTATGCGTCAATGACACAATGCCGTTTAGATGCATACCGAGTTTTCGTCGGTGTGCACGTACATGGAAAACCTTCCCATGAGACGGGTTTCCCCCGTTCTCTTTCCTCGTCAAGCTAGATGGATGTTCATACTATTGATCATTCGTTTGTAATTTGCGAGCCTCTCATCTCTAGTTTCCGGTATAGCTCGTCTACTCTGGTCCATTATTCGCGGAATTCTGGCTGCTCTAAACAATGACTTTCCCGCCACTAACATGGTCCGTGACCCTGAGACGCAGGTGCCGACCCCGCTGTTAGTGCACCTCGGCTTCAACTCAGATCGACTCCACGATAAGACCTCAGAGGTCGCGCGAGATAAGAGTATCAACACCACCTTCATGACTTGGCTCTAGTAGAAGGTGATAGGGTTCTATCCCATGGAGTCCGTAGTTCACTCCCCTCAACGCTTGTTTAGAGATTCATCGTGTCTTACATTCTCGAAACCGCTCCTGGCTCAGTCACGTCGATGACCGCAACCACTTACAAACCCCTGTCGACTGCTTGACCAGTCACTTCGAAAGTGCGAATCACTGAGTACTCACATAGCGATATTGCATTTCAATATGGGATTCAACTTGATTCCCGTCGCCGTTGGGGCGGTCGTGGTCTGGCTGGTCTACCACTACGTCGCCTATCCAATATTCCTTTCACCCCTGGCCAAGATACCAGTACCTCATTGGTCATGTCACGTATCGCCTCTCTGGATTCTTCTCGCAAGGAAGAACAACTTTCAAAACAGATCTCTCCATAAAGCACATCTCCGGCATGGCCCAGTGGTTCGAATTGGCCCAAACGAGCTCAGTGTCGACGGGTACGATGCCATCAAAACAGTCTACCAGGGAGGCTTTGAGAAGGACCAGTGGTACTCTATATTCGACAACTATGGGTGAGTAAACCTGTCCGATATTCATGTGCATGGAACACACTTGCTGACATTGAAGTGAAGAGTACCCAACATGTTCTCAACCCTGGAGTCAAAAGCCCACTCTCTACGCAAGCGTATGGTGTCAAATGCCTACTCAAAATCCTTCATCCAAGCCTCGCCAGCGGCCAAAGCACAAGCACGCAAGCTTCTCTTCGGTCGTCTCCTACCCCTGTTGTCTGAATCATCAGCCGGTCCTAAGCCTCAAGGCATCGAGGTGTTCTCGACCTTCCTCGCCTCAACCATGGACTTTATCACAGCATACATATTTGGCTTACGCAACAGCACTGATTTCCTGAGAGACAAGTCCTACAGAGACCACTGGCTACAGCTGTATCTGGTACGCGCGAGCTTCGGGTTCTGGCCGCAGGAGATGCCGCAGTTGACAGAATTCTTGGGCCGATTCGGATCGATGCTAAAGCCGTATCCTGCTTGGGTCGATGATGCGAATGCTGAGTTGCGCGAATGGAACACAAAGTTATGCGAGAAGACGTACAATGCTATTCACGGATTGGAAGTCGCGGAGAAGCAAGACCCCGCAGATGAACCAGTCGTGTTCCAGGCCATGGAGGCCGGAATCGAGAAGGAACGTCGAGTCAACGGGAAAGAGTCTCTGCTCTACTCCACTGCCATACTCAAGAAGGACCTCTCAATGGCATCAGAGTTGTTTGACCAGCTTTTGGCGGGCCAAGAGACGGCCGGCATCGCACTCACATACTTGGCTTGGCATTTGTCCAAATCTCCAGATTTGCAGCAGCAGTTGAGACAGGAACTTTTGACTTTGGAACCTCCCCTGACTATGCCAGCCGATGGATCTCTGCCAGGCAATCTTCCGGACCCGAAATCTGTCGACGCACTGCCACTCCTGAATGCGATGGTCATGGAGACTCTCCGTTTGAATGCGCCGATCCCAGGTCCCGAGCCACGACAGACGCCTCGACCGTCTTGCCAACTCGGAAAGTTCCATGTCCCTGGAGGCGTCCGCGTCGCTGCTCTTGGCTACACCCTTCATCGGAATGAGAAGGTGTTCCCAGACCCTGAAGTTTGGAGCCACTGTCGCTGGCTTGAGTCGGAGACCAACGAAGAACAGCGTCGCGAGATGAGTCGCTACTTTTGGGCTTTCGGCAGTGGAGGCAGGATGTGCGTCGGGTCGAACTTTGCAATGAATGGTGAAGTCAAGGAAACCTGTTGCGTGATAACACGCTTGCTGACATGCGTCACAGAGATGAAACTTATTGCAGCAGCCATTTGGTCGAATTTCACGACGTACATCGTCGATGACACAGATATCGAACAGGACGACACTTACACCGCACGTCCGATAGCAGAGCGGCTGATGCTGAGATTCGAGCGCGTGTAGGAAAGTCAAGTTTCTGGTCATAATTCAAAATCGGGGGATATCCTCCATATCTTACCAACGCCGCATCCATCCTTAGAAGATTCTAGAATCCATCAACTTGCGTTCCAATGCCCTTTTCCTTGGCCAGTTCAACCAAATGCATGCCCACCGCCAAGTCCATAAGCCCCAAGCCCACGCTCTTGTAGATGACCGTTCCATCTCTCAACCAGTGCGCCAATGCGTCCTCTTTCTTGTGTTTTTCCGTTGACCTCTGACTCGAGCTTCGGCGGTGGAGGAAGTGAGGCCCCTTACTACTTGTCGTCGATTGTTTGCTCAGAGATGACCGCGAATCGCCATCGGAGCTCGTAAAAGCAGACTTGATGGACGGCGTACCGGAGAAGTCGAGCTTGTCAAGTTCCGAGGGGGCAATGCTTGCCGTCTCGCTTTCCACCTCGGCATCGTCTGCCTCTTCCCGCATGCGCCGGAGCATAATCAGCTCACCCAATCTGTAAGCCCACGTCAGCAATTTCTCACCTCTCAAACAATATCCGGGTGGACTCACTCTACAAGCTGCGTCGGTTGCAACCCGGCGGCAATAACCTCGCCGGCCTCCTTGAGCGCCCCGTCCAGCGTGTCTACCACAATGACACCCCCTTCAGGAGCATGCTTGTGAAAATGCCAATGAGCCTTCTCATGCTTCGTGGCCATCTGCAACAGTCCGACCGGTAATTCCCTCATCTGCGGCGTGTAGCTTCCAATGGCCGCAATCAACCTGCCCTTCCGCCTCCCCTCGTGGCTCGTCAGCACATCCGCCTCGAAGAGATCTTCCGTGGACGGCGTACAGCAGTACACCACGTCCGCCTCCCGGATCTGGTCCCTCTGCAGCCGCGCAAACTCCCCATACCCGGGCGTGAGGATGCTGAACGTGGTCTCCGCCCACCCCTCGCGCTGTTTGATGTGCGCCGGCACGTGGTAGAACTGCTTGAGGAATACGCGCGCCTGGTCTGAGAAGCGGCGGTTGATGATGTTGACGTGCTTGATGGTCGCGCCCCTGATAAGCAGGGCCAGCCGGACGTGCCAGTAGGCCTGCAGCCCGACGCCAAAGCACGTCACCGTCTTCACCTGTCCGCGCCGCGCGAGCAGACACGTTGAGGACAGGGCGGTGCGGAAGGCCGTGAGCGTCTTGGCGTGGAGGAAGCCGACGGGCTGGCCCTCGGGCGAGAGGAGGGTCACGGCGCCGGTTGGGGCGATGGCTGGCTTTGCCGGGTCAGCGGCGGCTTTGGCGGAGGAGAGGGTGACGACTTTGCAGCCCATGCCTTGGGGCCCTACGGAGGGCATGTACAGTGTGGTGGCGCCAGTTTTGAGGTTCTCGGTCGAGAGGCGGTCCGGCTGGTGGTAGGTGCCATCTTCAATGTTTGTCGCGTTGGTTGAGTACTCATGGAGGGCGTGTGAGATTACATGTCTGAAGGATTCGAACTCGTCGGCCGTGAGGTCGGCCAGGATCGCCTTGATCTGGTCGTCGGTGAGGACCGTCAACACCATGGCGTGGGTTTGGTCGAGGTGGCTGCTGTCGATATCAAACCTTGAAACTCAGTTGACTCGGTTATGATATTGGGCGCAGAGGAGGGGTTATCAACTGAGTTTGACGAACTCGATGTGGGTGAGTATTTTGGTCTAGAGCGGGGTTGTTCCCTCCCCTCTGACTCGGGGTTAAACCTTTGCGGCCGGTGGCCGGGGCTAATATTATGGTATATACGGAATTTGGAACGGGGTTTCTTGGCATTCTACTTGACTTAAGTCACATCAGTCTACCGGCCCATCCGCGGTTGAATGCCAGGCGTGAGGGTTCGCGATGCACGACTTCGGCGTTATGATGTAATGGCGGTTGAAGCAAGCCCTACTTACACCCGCAGATCTGGTTCCGATCAGTTGGTGCTGACTGGCGACCCGTTGATCTCCACTTGCGCCGCTGCAAAGGGGCCGCTATCTCCGGATCCCGTGGACTTCCACGCGGTTCTGTTTAGTCCGGCTGTGGCGCAGGAAATGGCTGGGTGATGTGAGAGAGGGAAGAGGAAAGACATCGCCCACGAGCGGATTTTTGGGGCAATATCACGGAGCTTGCTTGGCTTGCTTTACCGATCCGACGCCGTGGCAACCCCCCGGACACGGGAGGGGCAAACCGGCCGGGGACCAGCTCCCCCGTGAATCCGGAAGTCACCAGCGCAGCAGCAGAGTCTACGTAGGTCGGATGTCATCAAAATATCGTCGGCCATACATTTTAGCCGAAATTTCAGGCTGCATCGACGAGGATACGAGGATGAAGGAGCATGTTTGCCCGATTTCAGGCATCTCAATAGCGGACGGACTTGGATGGCTGTGCATCAAAAGAGGCTTTGAGAAAGTCCACGTAATAGCCCGGGACGCGTGTATCCCCTCCGCTGAACCCGCACGATGGGGAAAAAACACAGAATACAGCTGCCTAGAGTCGCAAGTATTAAAGGCCTTGATGTCGAGGCAGCGGTGCTGAGTGGCGATGGCAATGAATCGCAAAGAAAGTCAGTTAACCACCTTTTGTCGTGTTGCTCATCGGGTTTCAAAAGCACCAGTAGTAGAGAGTACTCAGGATCGAAAAGAAAAAACCCACCGCATCTCAAGGCGCAAAGCAACCATTCGCTAAGTGGTCCCGCGACGCGGCTATATTGATCAATCAAACAAAGCCAACTCAATCGCGAACAAGTGGGAGAAAGACGATACAGGATCGACCGTGCTTGGCCCGGGCCCGGAAAGTGTCAGGACGTTGTTTCATAAACCTCTCACACATCCCATCTTCGCCCCGGTTCAAGGGTCAAAGCCTGGCGAAACGTCCAGGGGATCGGACTGAGCAGCTATTCCACCTACCCAAAGTCAGGTACGGAACGAATACCTGTCCCCGTACTAAGCAGTATATCGAGTGCCGGTCCAGTTATTACCTCCTACCTCCCGTGCCTGTCCCGACCGTTGAGAAGAAGGTGAGGTGTCTTGTGTTCGAGAAGCGACGACAAGCACAGGGCACAACCCAAACAAGAAGAGCAAAGGGAGACACAACAACCTGGGCCGCATTTCTCGCTCTCAGGGAGGCGGCATTTCGACGCTTGACTGCATAGTAAACAGGCGTGGAACCTTCCTTACGGTAGCTGAAGGTGAGGTAGGTTCGGTACTTCAAGGACGGTCAGAAACAGATAGCAAAAAGGCCCCTGCTGGACCTGATCGCCCCTCCCCGAATTTCTTCAACCAAGGGAGAGAAAGCAAGCCACCAATCACAAGACTGCCCTGACCCTTGGTTTTCAGTTGAGTCGCCGCCGTCGTCCCAGTTGCAGCAGGGACAAGACAACAATAATACGGGGGGAACTTAGGAGACACAGACTCAGTGGAGGACACATTCACCACTCGGGCGCTGCAGCTTACGTCAAGCTTCACCGCAGCCACCTCACAGTGAGCACCTGCTATCTGTGAACTGCCCTGGACGGATACTGGACCCTTCGGCTGCCGGGCCAGGAAAACGAGCAAGACGGTGGAGCCACTTGCACCTGCACCCCTTCCAAGATCCTGGACAGCGTGTGTCTATCCTGCCGCCGCCCGCCGCAGCAGCAGCAGAGTACCTTCTCAGGCGAGCCTTCTGACTGGTCCAAACCCAAACCCACCCCCCAGTTCCAAGCCTCAAATTCGGAAAAGAGGCTACGTACGACGACTCTCTCGTCTTGTCGCCTTTCCCCAAAATAGCTGACAACAACACCCTCACCTCACTGATTTTGGCTGAAAGCTTCTGTCCTGCGATACCTAGCCCCCATCAACGCCACGATCCTCGAACTCCTGCATTGAACTACAGCAACTCAACAACACCGCAACACCTTCATCGACCTTCACCTGACGAACACGGACCCCCGTCGCAAGCTTGTCGATCTCCGTCCCGTCAACCCTTCCTTCTTGAGCTGGAATTCGGACCATCTCCACTGCACACAGCTCCGACAGCCCACGTTCTCCGACCGAGAAATATCCTACACAACAAACCCAACCAAATCCATCAGACAAGATGACGCTCAAGGAGGAGTTCGCGACCCGCAACTTCAGTACGTGTTCCCGCCCGCCGTTTGCCGCAAGCTGCCAGTTGCTAACCATCATCGCAGGCATTTACGGACAATGGTAAGAGCTCCCTGCCTGCCCTCCCTCATACCCGCGCCGCGCTGCGCTGTCGTCAATTGCCCAAATTCCGAGCAAAACAGACGATGCCATTGCGTGCCATCCGCGGCAGCTCTTGGCGATTGCCTGCTGTATCGACGTGCGCCGTTTTGAGCTTCGTCAAGCTTCTTTGGAAACACAACTGACTCGACCAATCTAGGCTGGGTGTCCTGTCCATGATCCTGTGCTTAGCACTTGGCATCGCCAACATCTTCACAATCCACCTTCTGATCATCATCTTCTGTGCCTTCGCCATGTAAGCTGCCCTTTCAATCCTACATCCGGAGCTCCGCTGACAAGCTTTGCCCTAGCGCTTCCTCGTTGGTCATCCTCTTCATTGAGATTCCCCTGCTGCTCCGAATCTGCCCTACCTCGTCCACTTTCGATGGCCTTATTCGCAAGATCTCGACCAACTACATGCGCGCCGGCGCCTACGCCGTCATGGCCGTCATCCAGTTCCTCAGCACCATCATCAACACCACCAGCTTGGTCGCCGCCGGTGTTTTCCTGTCCCTGACCGCCATCTGCTACCTCCTTGCCGGCGTCAAGGGCCAGGCTTTCGTCGGCAGCAAAACCCTTGGTGGCCAGGGTGTAGCGCAAATGATTGTGTAAGGCGACGTACGATGCTCTCCGAACCGGTACCGATGGACGCCAACGCGGAGAGATCCTACGCCGAATCGACGAAATGGGCGGCGGCGGCAGCAGCAGCAACGACAACAGTGATATCCGGTGCCTGGAAGCACGCCAAAAAGGAGTTGTACGAATCGATGAGTGTACAGGGTTATGGGGCTAGCAGTGGCCAGTCGCATTTGCGCCGCGTAGGTCGCCTAAGGAAGCAGCGGACGGAAGCAGTGGAATGCGGTTTTTTTTGATATGCAACGGCCAGCATGGTCGGAATGGAAACTCGGCGTCCCGGAATGAGCTCAGGCTTTGTGTGTGTATGTTCGGACTCGGCTGCGCTTTGGTTCCTAGAAGCTCCGAGGGTCATGATAGCTTTCTCACTGCACTGAATTTATTGTCTTGAACCATTCTGTTGGCCGCACCGCGAATCTCGAGCCACGCGTGTGGTTTTCAATCAGTCGTCAACTCACATTCAGACATTTGGGCTGTGGCGTTGCCTTTTTGTGCCCCGTGAGTGGCTATTGACACCTTGAATTGGATACATGCAAGGTCTGTTGTTGATTCTGGATGCTGAGGTGAAAAGCTCTCCAATCCAGCCGAGCCCAGCCCACAGCAGTGAGTCTTCCACAGCTTCCTAGAAAATCCTCAAGTAGGCATAGCTTCATCAGGTTTGGAGCTCTAGTGGGTGGTTGGAGAAGCGCGAGAAAGGACACTAGACAGCGGGGGATCAGCAGGAAGAAAGAACCTAGGCAGGTTGTTCCCGAGCCCTTGTAGGCTAGCATGCCAACGTGATGGCACGAAAGGCGAGCACACCCCTCGGTCAGTCTCGTGATGGGCTCTAGCCGTGAACCACAGCTGAAATATGCGTGTCGTCTGTCTGGTCTGCCCGCCTGGACAAGCGGGATAGGCGATTCTTGTGAGGGGAAATTCGATCAAACCAAACCAACCCCTCAGGTTCCCGCGGGCACCCGTCGACGGAGAGCAAGCATATAACGTACCCTCAAAGGTTACCAAAAGATATGTTCTCCAAAGCTAGTGAAACCCAAGGATGTTGACGTAAACCGCACGTAGCTTCTGTGGGAGGATCTGTAGCCTTTGGCGGATAGTTTGCATATGTCAATTCGCATAGATATCCACTTGGGGGCTTTGGGGGCCAGAATCGACGTATGATGATGGGATATGTCAGAGACGTATGTGGCACAAAGGAAGGACGGGAAGAGGCATCATGACAAACGGAAATTAACAATGAGATGCACTCTGCCGAATCTGCCAGTGGGTGCAATGCCTTTTTCCTCGAATTGTGTGAGGTTGGTCCGGGGAGTGAGTGAGAGCCATGGCGTCATTGGCCAGGGCGCAGAGTGTGTGCAAGAACGGCAGAGAAGCTGCACTAGAGCTCCAGCAGCCAACCGTCCAGCACACTGTGGGAGTGCCCGTGGAAGCTAAACGGAGGTTCTGGTCCTGCTCCACTCGCCTCCTGCGTGCGGTGACGATACCCTCCCCATTTCCAACCCCACAGGGGTCCTTGAAGATTATGGAACGAAAAACAATCATGGCCTGGCGAGGTGTTTAACATTGCATTTCCACACGGTTTCGCGGTGTATTCAATGCTGTAGGATACCAATAAGTTGAAGGCTATAGGGCGAGACCAATCGTCGTGGGAATTCAAGCTTTTGAGCCCGCTTTGTTGCTCGGACGCCTCACCTCATCTGAAAGCATGACAACTGCTGGGCCAAATTCAGAGACGGCCGCAGATCGATCGTCAAAGAATGGGGCTGAGGCTGCTTCTGCCGTCTCCAGTTGACGGTCTGTGGAGGGGGGAGGCGACTGAACGGAGCTTGCACGTTGTTAGTAACATCAGCTGTGACGGAAGTTGGGTGGGCTGCAGGGGGGGACGGCGGTCTGGCCGTAGACGGTGGGAGGGAGCCAAGACCGTGACAAGCAAACGTCCGAAGGTGTTCGAGGACGAATCCCAGGGTCGCTGAGTGTCAGTTGGACACTGGAAAAGGCCGCCACAATGACAGTCAGGTGGGAGGTTGCCTATGTGAGTAAGGCATTCGCAAACTTGAAGTTAGTTGTCGAGAAATGCCTCCGTTTGAAAAAATGCCTCCAAACTGCCCGCAAGCGATCCGGCGCCCGTCAACAAGGGCTTCCGAGTTGCTAGAGATGGAAGCCCGGGAGGCAGTGTCGTTTAGACAATTTCGGCACCAATTGAGGGACCGGCGTCAACGGCGCCCGCAGTCGCAGCCCGGGAGACGGGAAATTCAATTAAATGGATCTGTTGTCTCTGGTTGTAGGCGGTGAAGAACGAGTACAGAAGCAGTACATGTCTGAACGTGGAAAGGGTCGTGGCCACGATCATGAACTTGTTCCAATGGCAGGTTGTGGTTGCAAAGCAGCAGGGGTGTGTAAAACGGCTCTCCCTCTTGCGTGCATGCTTGGTGTAGGATGCTGTTGTATCGAGATCTAAACGGACGAGACACCGTCGCCTGGCCAGCTGCAAGCCGGTGCTTTCAATGCAGAGCTTGCAACATCTCGTGGTCTTGTGGGGCTGGTGGGAGAGGTGTCGTCAAAAAGTCAAGAGGCGAGGCGCACTGTGGGTGTCCTGACAGAGATGCGAAAGACTCTGCGGCGGTGCTGTCGAGACTGACAGAGGATTGTACCGGTTGTACCCTTCCCGGTTCGCCCATCCGGTTCCTGGAAAGGTACTTGAGGCTGTACCTGTCGCGGTACCGCTGTACTCTGGCTAAGGCAGGCCCTGCTGCCCTGGTCTGGCCCGCCTGAGCCCGGTGGCCTGGGGTGAGGTGGTCATGGTCAGCGGGTGACTTTTCGAACTTTTCTCAGTGGACAGTTTCGATTGGGACGCGGACGGGCTCGACCTTGAACCAGACGACGCCCTGTGGAGCTGCCGTCCACTGTGGCCTGGCCGGCCTCTCCACTGTGGACGGGGCCGGCGAGAGACAGAGAGGACCCGCGGTGGGCATTGACAATGGCCACCCTGCCATGCCGAATCAAAGAAGTGTCCTGGCTGGAACTGGCTTGTCTTGCTGGGACCATGAAGACGGAAGAGTCGATAAGACGGCCCGGCCAGAAAGATAAGATACGGCGTAGACAGGCAGAGAATGAAGCAAGCTGCAGCTCGAGCGCAAACGTGGGAAAAGTAGAAGGATCTGTTGTGAAGATGCCAAGTCGAGTTCGGTGTTAGACGCAAAGGAAGAATGGAACACTGTGAAAGGCCCAAGGGCCCCCCGGTGCGCCAACACCGGTTCCTTGACACAGGTGACTCGGGATGGGTTTCGTTTTGGATTCTAGATTTCGACGCTGACGCGAGCACGCAAATGGGACGCCGAGCACGTTTGACCTGGTGTATGCCCGCTGTCCGCTGACAGCTGATGGCCGAGGAATCCACTGTAGGCTTTTTGGATTTGCATTCTTCCGTTCTGTTCCCCGGTGCTTGCTGCTATTTCCAGATTCTGCCTTGGGATCCCTGAAAGCGGACGGACGGGCGGCCGGCAGCACTGAGCGGTTGTTCTGTCGAGTCGAATTCGAGGTCTGTTGCTTGCTTGCTTGCTTGCTGGCTTCGCTCGCTTCCATTCTTGGTCCCGCCCAATAAAGTCTCTGGGGTTTGGCAATTAGTCGTCGAATTTCGATCGATCGATGGAGGTGGGATGATGGTCTTTGGAGATCCCGCTCCTTGGCCCAGAATCCCAACAACCCCCAGACAGACAGCTTGAATAAATCTGACTGCGGTCAGGAAGGTAGATACATGCTGCTGTCGTCTGAATCCCATGGCAACAGCATGATGTGGACAACTCACCTCCTCACATCAGCAACAGCTAGGGCAGATAGTTGGACCGGCTGCTTTGTCTGGTCCGGCGGCGGTCCATAATAGATGGTTCCCGTATCATTGAAAGGAAGGGCTTCCCCTGACACCCGAAGATACCAACAAAAGGTACGTTCGTGATGGAGGAAAGTACGGCGACGTCCAATGAAGGAGGTGCGGTTTCCAGTTGCAAAGAGTCGGCAGGGCAGGTACCTCCCCGGTTGGCTGCGTACCTTTCCTTCCTCCAGCGTGTGCCGTATGATGCACTAGTGGGCTGGATGGCGGGGTACGGTGGGTTCCCCAAGACAGATCACTCGGCACCGTACGACTTGGAGAGGGACTTACTGTATGACCACAACCGCCTCTTTCGTCGGTCCAGTGTCGTCGTCCTGCAGCAATGGAACACACAAACGCAGCAACTTCCAGCGCCGGTGCTTCTCTGGTGCCTTTCCCGCCGCCAGGACAGAGAAGAGACTGGACGGATGTACACACCTCTACACCCGCTGTACCGGCATCGAGCATCCCTGTTTTTGTCCCAGGAATACGTCGCTCGTGACTGGCTCCCTGGCGGCAGCAGCACCGTCACCGAAGAAGCTGGTTTCGTCGACGCAGAATATAAAGGTCGACGCCGTCGTGACTTTCGCTTCCAACCCCGCCCCTCTGGGATTTGAATTGTCAAATTTGTTCAATGCTTCTACTCAGCCATCAAGCCCGTTCTATGAACATTTTCTTGTTACTCGTCTCTCCCAGTGTGTTACAATAACACCATCAAACCATCAACTCAACAGCTCCTCCTGAGATCCTTATCCTTATCTCTCTCTCTCTCTCTCTCTCTCTCTCTCTCTCTCTCACCTTACCTTACCCCAAAGCTGTAAGTGGCCCTTCCCCAGCGCGCAGTCGTCATTCCCTCCCTCTCAATGTGTACTCCGTCTGCCCGCCATGGAATCTCCTCTCTCCCCGTCTCCTGCTGCTCCGTCGATCCGTTTGCGTCTTCCCTCCTCCTTCCACCCTGGCGACCGTCCAATGCTCTGCCACACATTGTCAGCACACCACCACAAACCGGCTAGGCGCTGCCCAGCTGTTGGGGAAATCAGGCCCACCTGGTTCCCAGCCAGACTCAGCTATCACCACCCACCAGCCGTAAGATTGGGAAGGGCAAGGCGATGCATTT